GCGCGGCCAGGCAATTAATCAGAGAACTAATTTTCTCTGAGCTAATATCGGTGTCACGTCAAAATACATGACACAGATATTATTAATACATGCGAAGATCAAGTGAAGGCTTACCTTCTTCGATTGCAGTGAGCGCGCTCTGTTGAAAAAAAAAAAAAAAAAAAAAAAAAAAAAACACAAAGTTTTAATATTACACAAGGTACTCTTGTGAGACATAAATAAATGATAAAATTTAAGAGAGAGCGCGCGCGTTTCAAATTTATACAATGACATTTTCTCAACACACGGTAATCGGTAAAATTTTTTTAGATTCGCGTGAAACAATTGATAAACTGTGTTAGTTCGTACTTGAAAAATCTCTCACGCGTGTACTTGACCCAAATTCCGGTCGTGATAACGCCAGAGAGATTTTAGTTGGGAGCGCGAACGATCAGCGTGTGATAGTTGTACGCGGACGTTGAAATAATACATACAAGGGATTGCAAACATTTCGCGTGTTTGATCAGTCCACATAGAGGCGATCTAAATCTACATGTGCACACTTGTATTCACATCTGAATTAGAGTTGTATGTGAGACCTTGTTATTCTCAACTTGTGATAATATTGAGAATGCACTCTTTGTGATAAGCAAACATTTCGCACACGGAATTAGAAGATCAGAAGTTCGGTCCCGTCTGAACGAGCGAAATATTCACGCGTGCATATGTATGGTTTTTTTTTTCTTTTTTTTACTACTTCTTTATTTTATTATTTACGTTATTTGCGTGAATTTATTACGTCGCTTGAGAACGCGACACACGCTGTGTGTCGCAAATGTGTTTTCGGAGGTTTTTGAATTTTTTAGATCACGCTTTCGTTCTCTCTCGGGCATTACGTACCAGATTTTCCTCGCTGAGTGACTTGATGTCGTTCCTGGAAATTCCCATGGGTCGCTGTTACACCGTGTGAGGTGACACGCCGTATTATTTATGAGAACGTAGCGGTGATTTCTTCCATATCGCTGCGATCTCTTCCGAGCATCGTCGCTCACAAAAAGCCGAGTTTCTGAATGCTTAAGTACGATTTAAACGCAAACTTTGTCGGATTGCACTGCGCCACTTTGTGCACAACACTTTCTCGTCTGGCAGCCCGAAGTCTTCTTCTCGTCAATTTATTTCGCGCGCGAACTATGACCACGCGCGGGTTCGATGCACGATGTACATTAAGAAAGAGATAATTTGAAAAGAAGAAAAAAACAATAAAAACGGATAAAGATTGTACTCGATCTGTCATTTAACGAGCGGACGCTCGATTTATTCGCTGCCTCATTATTTCTACTGTAAACAATTGAGTATTCGTTCTTTTATTTTTACATCTCATTATGATTATTAAATATATATTATATATAGATTATTATTGTATAGATTTATATAACTGTATAAGGCTATATAGTTCTGTCTTATGTAAAGTTTTAATTGCTGCGCAAAATTATTTTCTAAGATTTTAAAAATTATGCGAGAAATATTCAGTAAATAAAGATAAAAATGTGTAAAAAAGTATATCATCAAAAAATATACCAGTTATATTTAAAATGAGCGAAGCTGAGGTTTTTCTTCTATTTTTTTTGCGCTAAATGCACCGTGAAAATATGCATTTCAGTTAATGAAAAAATGCGGTGACTCTGCGAGTAGTGTGAGAGATATGTTTAATCTCCGGACTAACTCTCTCTCTCTCTCTCTTTTTTTTCTCTCTTAGAATTGTTCGTTAAAACCGCGTCCTCTATATTCAGTAGTCAATATAATTTTTTATCTCACGCATGTATACATACACATGTAAACACAGCGGCGCCGCTTCCTTTCACCAACAATGCGATTTATTTAGTGTATGTATAGTTGTTTGCGGGTTTTACAAGCTGTGATTAATTCCGCAACGTTTCCAAAGTGAATGTCATCATTTGTTCTTGCTGGAAAAGAGGAACATGTGAGAGGTTGAAGAAAGCTTACCTTCTTTCTTAACTAAAAATATTTAAACAATGCCGTATCGAGAAAACAGCACGTTATGAAACATCCGGAGATATTTTTATCATCCGGAAATATTTTTTATTCAAATTATAAATTTAGAATTATAAAAAAGACAGGTTCTTACATAATATATGTATTATCTCACCTGTTAAATTTTATGTATATATATAGATTTTATATATTTTTTATGATTTTATATACATATAGATTATGTATATATTTATTTATATAAATTTTGCGTATCTTTGTATTGTACGTATTGAAAATATGTGTGAAAAATGGTTTCACTTTTACTACAAATAAATATTTAACACGATATATGATTTGCGAGTGACAAGCAGGTGATGAATTCTCGCTCGGAATACAATTTGGTCTTACACGTATTCACGAGGGAAGAATTCTCATAAATAAGAAAAGAGCGAAGTTAGGCAAGTTTCGTAATGCTTTGTACAAACAACAAAGCAAATATCTTTTTGATATCGTGCGGTGATATTACAGATTGTGAAACGCGCGCGCGATCAAAGCGCGAACACACACACACACAGCAGTCAGAATTGCGCGAAAAGTTTCATTCATTTGTTACTTGTGCGCGTAAACAACCACAGGTTGGTAAGAGCGGGAATAAAAATGTAAATGCGTGGAATATTTGCTTCGGATCGAGGGAAAAGCTCGTTCCGAACGTTCGCGTGCTTATTCTTGTTAGTCGCTGCGAAAGGGTATATGGAAGCTGTTGCTTTTATAATGAAAGAGCCGATACGTGACCGGTTCTATAGATTTCGCGGAGCCTCTCAAGCTTGAGCCAATAATACGTGAATATCAGGTAATACGTGCCTGAACATCAAGTCCGATACACGTGCCGTCGGTATAACTAGAACCCACCTACTACGTACGAGCCTTGCTCTACTTCCATTTCTCTAAAGCCTTTACCTCGGGCTTTTGCCTCATAGAGAGTGCCGCGGAATACAATTCGCGAATATGTGTGTGAATGACGGGCATATTTCATGAAATTTGACGTATGAAGCGCAGCGAGAGATATATATATATATATACATGCATATAATTCACTTCTCATTCTGTGCCATTGTGTGCTTTAATTGTTAAGACCAAGGTGTAAAATTTCTACGTGTTTCAAAAATCTTTCTCACTAATGCGGTTAATAAAATCCCACGTGCACAAAATATTTCGCCGATAATGTCTACGAGATATATATATATATATATGTACGTAATAGAATACAGCCTACTTTCCCTATACGCGTTGATTATTGCGCGCCATCGACTACGAACGACAAAATCGATATCGCAACCCTTCGCAGCAGGGCCCGCCCTCGTCTCTTCTCGTCGCTTTTTACACGTGCCACGATCGAGAGAGACCTGCTTTTCTGGCGTCTCATATTTTCACTTGAATAAGAAAGATTATTCGTTCTGACAGTACATTTGCGAAAATAGATTGTGAGATACAATTTTTATTTATACGCACATTATATATGTTATCCACATATATTCTCTCGGTTTCTTAAATAGAAGTACATTTTCCATATTATCACTACCGTCTTGCGTTTTAAATAAGATAACAATTTTTAAAATTGTTGCTGCCATTTTAGATGTTTTTATTACACAATCAGATTTATAAATTTAGATTAAAGTAGAAATTCACATCTGTGTTAATTTATGAAAGAATTATTTTTATCTATTTTTATTCTTCTTTTATCTTCTCTTTCTCTCTCTGCTGAGAGAAAGTTATCTTTAATAAGAATATCCATTAAACTATGAAAAAATCTTAAAAGCTATCATGGATGAAATTTCACTCCATGCGAAGTTTGTTTTAATGTTATTAAAAAACGTAAGCACTGGCAACACTAATTTTAGAATATTTATTTACACGATTAGACTTTCTTGACGACTTTTTTGACTTTTAAAATAAAAATATATACGTACTGCAGTGAAGTTTCCTTTATGACAGCATTATGACAGCGTGATTTTTATTTCATATTATAGTTTTTAATTTGTTGTAAGCAAATTAAGTTTCGAGCGCGTGTAAATTATAGTGGCGGAGGAAGAGTGGTGAAGGGTGAGTGATATAAAATGACACGAGTGTGGTTAATACGTCTTTTTCTACGTTTCTATTTATTATGAAAATATAATACAAAACATCCTATGTTGTATTACATAGATAACAATGCTCAATTAACGTTTTTTTTTTTCCCTTTTGTCTTGTAACGTTACCATCCAACACTATGAGAAGCATGTCGGGATAGGTAAGGTCGTGTTCTCGTCTCTTCCTCTTTTTTTTATTTATTCTTTTTTCTTCTTCTTTTTTTTTTTCAATTGGAGAAAAGGCCCGATATACAGAGAGATTATATAGACGAAACGTTATAGAGCAAGATTACAGATCTCAGAACGAATAAATCAAACTAGTAGTTTTACAAAAAAGAGCACTCGCTATAGGGCGCGAGCTAGACGGTAGTATATAGGAAGAGGCAGGTTTACAGAGAGGGGAAAGACGGATGAGGGCGGAAAAGGGGGAGTGGATTATTTTGTATAGGTATTATTTTTTTTTTTTTTTCGCGTGTGTTGTGTCAAGGGACAGAGTTGGAGTTTTGTATTAGCGCTAGTTTACAAATAATACAAATGTATGTAAATATTCGTTATAATAATAGGTTCTCTCTTAGCGAGAAAGAAGCTTAAAGCTAATTCATCTAGCGTCACTATCGTTTTTTTTTTTTTTTTTTTCACACCGTGCTAATACTACGTGTTCCAGCTGGTACCCATGAACAGCCGATCGACAGAGATCCTCAGATAATGCATCTTTCGAGTTAATTTTTAATAAACTTGCGTCAATTAACAAATCTTTCGTGACAAT